GGTGAGAGGATTCACCAGAGACAGAGTGGGGTACAGAACAGGCAGATCGACAAAGTACACTGCTCAGGGGAGCAGCAGGCAGGTCAGGAGAGGTTTGCCTCGCCATGTGGATCTCTGCCATGTGAATCTCCTCCGGGCCAGGTGGGATTGAACTCATGTGGAAGTGGCATAAGCTTCTTTGTGCTGTGCTTTAACCTGCTGTGCCACCAGGGAGGGCCCATTTTAACTTTTTAAGGGTTAATTTAGTTCATTCACATTGTTGTAGCATCATTACCACTGTTTTTCTCCAAAACTTTTCATCATCCTCAAATGAACTTTGCTCTTTTAAAAAACTGCCCCTTATCTCTTGATAAGTACTTATGGTTTGTAAAATTTTAAAATAATTTTATGATTAGTGCATATGTAAAATTTAGGGAGAGGTCTGGTTATTTAAGAATGGCTAGGTATGTGTAAAATGTTATTATTGATTATAGCATAAGAATATTAAACAATATTACAGGTTTTTCAGAGAGGTGTTTTAGATAGATAATTCATGCTTTGTAGAAGTCTGACACATGTAATTGATTTGAGAGGGGAAACCTGACATGAATTTTCCTGAGATATTTAGATAGGGTATGTTGAAATGGAGGGAAATTATGGGTTGGAATACAATTCCAGGTGCAGTTTTGCAATTATTTGTACATAGGGCAACATTCTAAATTTTAAAAATTAATGCTATTTATTTAATATCTGCAATTTTACAAATTATAGAAATCTACTAAGAAGGTAGGTTTATAGATGATAGAAAAGCATTTCTCTTTCAGTATAATTTGGGCTTTTATAATCTAAATAACCAGCAATATAATGCAAAATTAGTTAGTGTGTAAATAAGATTATTTATATTAATTTGAGTCTTTCCTAAGAAAAAAATTTTAAAAATCTTTTAACCCTTCTCCATCTTTTTTAATTTTTTGGTAAATATCATTTGTTTTAGAGTTGTGGTATACTGGAAAAATTCCTCAAGTTTTGTTTTTTTTTTTTTAAAGATTTATTTATTTGTGCATGCAGAACTGGGGTACAGGCCAGAGGCTCAGGGGTGGTGGGTGAGAGGTTTACCAGAGACCGAGTGGGGAACAAAACAGGCAGATCAACGAAGTACACTGCTGAGGGGAGCAGCACAGGCCAGGAGAGGTCCGCCACACCATGTGGTCACCTGCGGGGCAGGCGGAAATCAAACTCTTGAGGAAGCGGTTTTAGATTCTCAGTGCTGTGCTTTAACCCGCTGCGCCACCAGGGATGGTCCAATATCCTCAAGTTTTAAAGGAGGGAAACAAAAGCTATTACTGTGAAATTTTTTAGTCAGTAGTATGATCCAGAAACAGCTCTCAAGGGTATTTTGAAAAATCCTCCTTAGTTCTACTTTTAAAAGAGTCTTACTGTTTTCTTCTTTAGACTACCCATATATATTTATTTACATGTGCTAATGTAAATAAATATTTTTATAGAAAGTACATACTTTATTTTAACAATAA